AAGCCCAGCGATCATAACAGCAGAACGACCACTCGACCAGTCACTATGAGGTGCACTGACCACCTTTTGGTTCCCCGGCCAGCAGGCTCCGATTGCTGATGGCGAACGGGGAAATGGGGTGGGTGGTGGTGGGGGACGGGACTGGTGAGTGGGTGGAGCGGCCGACCTCTTGGTCCCTCCTCCCAGCCCACAGGCTCTGATAGCTGATGGTGAAGGGGAACCAGGGTGGGTGCCGTCGAGATGGCCCTGATCACAGGCTAGGCCTAGGGACTATACCTGGGCCTCTAGTAGAATCATTACAGCTCAGGTGCTATCTCTAGTTAATTTCCCCTTAGTATCAGTCAGTACCTACCTTAAAAAAAAAAAAGTTACCAGGCAGTCATTTCTCTCTCCATTGTTAATTAAACCCAGCCACATCTACCTCTCCCCTCCTCCTCAGGAACTCCTAAGCTGTCTCTACTCTGCTCACCTAAGCCAAATCCTGGTCACCCTGGTTACACTGGGTCTTCCCTGCCACTGCTGGGTTCTAAGTCTCCTCTCTGCCTCCAGTCTCCTTCCCTTAATTTATTTCTTCCACATGGCTGCCAGTGCATCTTTCTAAAATTCAAGCATGGCTGTGTTAGTCCTTTCAGGAGATCCCCAAAGTACAGCCTCCTTAGCTCGGTGTCTGGTTTTCATAGAAGATGGTTATGTAACTGATGGAAAGGTGTCAACAGACAAAGGAGTTGTAAAGTTTCTTTAATGGCCAAAGATACGGAGACTATTAGAGACCGGTGTTACTCCTTTCTGAAGCTTTCCTTATGGTATTTAATCTGCCTAGAATGTCCACTTCATTTCCCTGATTTTGCTTTCCTGAGCGTTAGCTCTAATTTGACTTCTATGTGTAGTTCAGATATGATTTTTTTTCCTAGAAGACCTCGCTGCTCCCAGTGTTGTGGTTCTTAGGTTCCCCGAGATAGAAATTGAGAGGAAACCCCAGAGGAATTCTGAACTGGCTCAGGGGCTGGCCCTGCTTGGCTGCTTTCATAAGCTGGGGACATAAGCTTGCGCCGAAAGGTGGGCTTTTTTACTAAGGCAGGCTTGAAGAATTTCCCATTATAGATTCTGGTGACTTCCTTTTCCAGCTGCTTTGCTTAGTAATAACTATGTTGGCTCCTGGGCTGTGGGGGCAAGCTGGCTAACTGCTCATTATGCCACCCTAAGAAAGGTTGTTTAGTGGTCGCACCTTGGGGTTAGTAGTTTAAACAGGCAGTTGAAAAGGGACATAAAATTAGTTACTTCTGTGCTTTTGAGTAGGAAGTGGAGGGGTTTGCAGTCAGCTAATTATTTTCCCGTCCTGTGGCCAAGTCCCTATGCTGTCTCACCACAACCCCCACCCGTTTGATGAGGTGGTTTTTTCTTTGTTCCTATAGCTCTTTGCACATCTGTCATTAGTAGCCTGTGTGTTCTACAGAGCACTGTTCAAAAGGTATTGTGAAATAAGTCCATGTTAAACATATTAGAATACAAAATCAAGCACTTTAGAATTTCTCAAAGCCTTTAATAGGCCTAAGTGCATTAGTATTCTCCAGGAGAAGGATCAGTTTTATATCGTGTGTGTGTGTGTGTGTGTGTGTGTGTGTGTGTGTGTGTAAGTGTAAGCGAGTGCCACTTTCTGTTGTCCCTGTGAGGATTTTAATTTCATGAATATATAGTCTTTGCTCAATTAACTCTGTTTCCTTGATTTCTGTGTTTTGGCTTGCTGAGTTTGGTGCATGCCTTGCATGGTTTGGTTTTGTTCAAACCTTTCAGATGTGTTTGTTTCTGTATTTGGAGTTCCTTGTTGACTTGTTTGAGGATACTTAACTGTTTATCATAGCCTGCCTCTGGTGGTGAATGAAAAATGACTTGCTCCAATATGGGACAAGCCCCCTCAGGCTACTTCACTGCTATTCCGGGTGCTGTGTGCTGGCTGGAACAGTCCTGGGAAAAGAGTGCTCTAGCATGCAGTGCTGTTACAGGTCTCCCTTTTCATTACCCTAAAAGCTGCTCCTGCTCTGCCCGCCACACTCCTGGTTTGCGTTGACTTGAGCTTGGAGGACCTTCAAACGGCTCCACTTTGCATTGGCTTTATGTTTTGGATTGTCATTAGGTTCTGTATTTACTACTATCTTTTCCTTTCCTTTTTCCTTAAATCTAATCACATTTTTTTAATCTTCCAGGGATTCTTCCAAACTGCTTTTCTGCTTATGGCACTACTTGCCTTGTAGCAATGTTATAGATTTGCTTTTAAAGTCTGCTTTGATATTTCCTGGAGATTTAGATAAGAAGGGGAAGTTGTCTATTCTCCTATAATCTTTATTTACATGTGAATCCTTCACTTATTCACCTATAAACAGTCCTTGAGTTACCCATGGGAAATGCATGGTATCAGTACCTTGAGCTCTTTAGTTACTTGACTATTTCTTCATGTCATGTGTGTCCCTTCAGAGCCAACACTGTACTATATTCATCTCTATTTGTATTTCCTTGCAAGATGCTGTAAAATGGTAGCTGTTTCAGTTGAACCAAGTTTTACCTATTAAATCCAAGTTTACAGAAAATATAAAGTAGGAGATGAATGATTGTTCTACAAAAGGAATCTTTTAACCATAATTAGTGCCTCTTGCATTTCAGGGTACATTTGTTTACAGTTTTAGGGACTATTAAAGAAATGAAGATTCCAGTTAGTCATACATTCTGACTAACAAAGTTATCTGTTGTTTCAGCTTTCTTTAGTCCCAGATTTAGAGCCACTGAGGTAAAACCATACTACTACACTTGTCTCAGAAAACCTAGAAAAGAAAATTATTAATGGGGCATCGTTTAAATTTTCTCTTGTGGTGTGACAGTATTGCTTTAAAATATTGTGTGTTTATTTACACCTGAAGTAGTACTACCTGTCAGCACAAAGATGTGGTTGTAAGAATGTTTATCAGAGCATGGTTCACAGTAGTAAAAATTGGAAACAACCTAAATATCTAAAAGTAGAGAATAGGTTAAACAATATGCTAGAATAAAATGCTGTCATTAATTGTGGTGACAGTGAATTGAACATTTCTAACCAAATACAATGCCTAAAAACAGTTAAAATTTTAATACTACAAATTTAGGCAGACTCCAACTTAGATGCAAATTCTAAATGCTTATCTAATAATAGCTAATTTTTATGTATTATGTGGAGGGCTTCCCATGCATTATCTCAATCTAACAACTCTTTTAGGTAGATAGATGCTTGTAATATTCCCATTTTCCATGTGAGAGATAACGCTTAGACAGGTTAAGTAACTTGCCCAGGACCACACAAGTTAGTGGTAGAGGATTTGCGTCCAGGAAGCCTAACTTAAGAGGTCATGCTCTCAGTCACTAAGAGATGCTCTACTTGGCTTTGAACTGGTGGATGCGTTTGTGACCAGTATTCCCTTGAAGCAGTGACATGGGTCCCAAAATAATGTAGAGGAATAAAAAGCTTAATAAAACTTTATTGATTACATGGTATTCATACAACTGAGGAGGCTGTCAGTATCCTACTTCAAACTTGCTTCCCAGAGAGAAACATTCATAAAATTTTTAAGTCCTAATCTTGAATTTCATCATTTTGAGTCTCCTTATCTATTCCTTCTCCTCAGTCATAGCCCCACTCCATGGATGTCAGAGGAGTAAGCTTATCAATATATGTGATTTCTTCATAACTCCCAACACTTTTGAACCTTTCAAACTACCTAAAATTTACATATTCTAAAGACTAGGTTTTTATCAAAAGGCCAAAAAATGTAGTACAAAAAAATAAGGAAAATAAGAGGTTTTTTAAAAAAGATATATTCACCTTTACATCTGAAAGAAGTTGAAAGTAACCAAAACAAAATAAATTATTATGCAAAGGCTAAACCTCTTTCAAAGGTATTCATGCTTGAAAAAGTTTGTATGTTTAAATGTTAAGTTTTTTCTCAACCATAACTTATTAATACAACTTAATATTTTTTCCTTTTGAAAATGTGAATGTTAGTTAGAATTCCACATGAGTCCCCCAAAATCTGGTTGGTAAATTATAATTGTAATAATGTATGCCTGAAAACTAACAATAAAATAGAATTCTGAATATAGAATGTTAAAATATAAGGGACTTGGAGTAGTTGGAAATTATGTTCAGCTGCTAGTAATAAAGACTCCCAAAATAGTGACTTACACAAAATAAAAGTTTGTTTTTCTCTCACATAAAAAGAAATTGTTCATCATTTCCGTAGTCATCAAGAACCCGCTCTACTTCTTTCGATCTGCTTAGTTCTGCCTAACCTTCCATTCTCAGGGCCACTCATGGTCCAATACAGCTGATTGAAGTCCAGCTCTCAGGTCCAGGCAGAAAGGGCACATACACTCATACGAGGTTTTTTGTTCCCCTTTAAAATGCTTTCCTGGAAATTCTACTCCCCAATTTCAGTTTTTCTATATCTTATTGACTAGCACGTAAGTCTACAGCAACAACCAGCTGCAAAAAAGACTAGAACATTGCTAATTCAGAATAAAATTAGGCTTCTCTTAGGAAGAAGGGGAGTATTTGTTTTTTGGAAAACAGCCAGCAGTCTCCAGCATAAGACTGTAGGAGACATCTCATCCAGACTTTTTAAGTTTAAATACAGCTGGTTAGTGGCACAGTTGTAGTTAAAACCCAGATGTCTTGCCAGTCTGTATTAACTAGCGTGCTCACAATCGCTTTTACTAACAGTGAATTAGATAAAGTGATAGTAAGTCAATCTAACATTATTACAAGTGTAATTCTTTGCCTCTTTACCTCAACATCTACCCCCCACACACACACACATACTCTCACACACTTAAGTATTTCAGAATATTATTGCCTCTTTTTTGATAAACCTTTCTATGATCACTTTTCCTTCAAGATCCAAGTTATATTGGCCATCTAGATTCTGTGATTAATACTTAAAATAATTTTAGTAGCCTCTAAAAACATTTAACATTTGTCTTTAATATTAATGGTTTTGTAACTTTAGGAACAATTTTTTTCTCAAATTTTCTCCTACAGTATAGCTGAAATACAGAAAGATGTGGAATACAGGTTGCCATTCAGCGTAAACAACCTGACAATTAACATTAATATGTGAGTAGAAATTGTATCCTATTTTTCTATATAATACGACTATTTATTATTAGAAGTAAATTGTTTAAAGTGAACTTATTTTAAATATTCCCTTTCCAGTAACTACAATTTATCAAAATTGCACAATTTTGTGAATAAATATTTTGTAAAGAAATTAATGTATATTGCCGTAAGAAAACAATAAAAGAGGAAATGCAATAAAAAGATATAAAAATCATGAATACTGTATTCAGTTTCATTGATTTGTACTAAAGTCTTAGCTGGAAGTAGATTGAAAGAGGAGAATGATAATAACAAACAATCAAAGAGATCATGTATGGAAAACCATTAGAGATTATTCACCTTTACATCCGAAAGAAGTTGAAAGTTCAAGACTGATTTGATCTACTGATTATTTTTAAAGGAAAAAAATGTAAACATGAGGTTACATTTTAAGTTCTTACCAAATTAAGTTCTTACCTCAGGTTATATTAAGTGGCTTGCTTTTAGAGGCAGTGTGTGGGTGAGGTAAAAAGGTACCTAACTTGGAGACAGGAACCAGGGCTTATTCATCTTCATATCCTCATTGCCCAGCGAAGTGCCTGCACAGAGGAGGCGTTACTACGTCCTGGTTGAAGGAGTAAATTCAAGTATTATGCTGTGTTATCTTGATGTACAGCGGTTTTTTGAGTCCTCACAGTAGCAAATTGGGGCAAATTATAGACACATAAGTAGTGACAGCATACTCGGGATACAAAACTAGATTAGTCCGGCTCCAAAGGCCACGTGTTGCCTTTTTACCAAACTAGTTTAACATCTTCAACTATATAAATTAAGTAGCTTTATTTCTCTCCAAGTGTCCTATGTACAACTAAGTAGGAGAAGCCAACAAGGACCCAGTTTTCTTCTTGACATTGCTGCCAACAAAGAGTTTTCTGAGCCAACGGGAACAGAGAAGCAATTTAAAAGGACATATTCTTTTGAGTTTTAGAGGAAATTTGGAAAATAGTCTTATACTCAGTAAAATCCCATTTTTTAAGATTTCACTCCCTAATCTTAAATTTGTAATAGGTCAAAAAAAAAAAGGTTAAAGTTTTCACTCTCTTATATTGAGAATGTACTGTTTTTTTATTTGAAACCATGTGATTCACCTCAGAATTGGGAGAGATGTGTTAATTGGGACATTTAGAAAAGAGCCATATGAACTGGGGCATTAAGGCAGCTTTAATGTTTCATTTCTAGCACTCTCCATTTTCTCTTTAAAAATTCAGTAGATAGTGAAATAATTCTTGGCAGCATTTTAAAAGTAAGAAAACCACGTGTAAAAAAATGATATGACCAGATCTGTGGTCCAATAAGTAACCAGCCTGGGTTAGTGTGACTCACATGCTACAAATGCTTGATCTAATTTTTAGCTGAGATTTGTATTGGTATATTGTATTAGAAAGCAATTAATTGATACAGTGTGAAGATTATTCTAAATTCATGGTATCCATGTTCCACATTAAGTAGGTTTTACTGTAAGGCAAGCATGTCAAACTCAAAGGCTAACACAGGCCAAATAAATAAGGTTATGTGGCGCAAAAAAACAAAAGCTCCAATTTTCATAGAAACATAGGTTTATTTTGATAGTGATTTATCTTTTATTGCTTAAAGTATTACAAAGGGTATTACATATGAAAATAAGACATTTTAATAAAAATTAATATTTTTTCTTGAACATTAACTTAGCAGACACTGAATAACTGCACAAATTAATAAGCGTAACACAAATAAACCTATTTTTCTTGTTCTCCGAAAGCGAAATATTTCTTGTTGGGCACACCAAACAAGTCAGTGCAAGACTAATGGTGGTGGCAGTCGGCTGCTAAAATATTCACTGCTAGTATCAGTGTAGAGAAATGGTGTGCCTGTGTGTAAGATGCGTAAGGGAAATGAATGCAACACGATTATAATAATCAGTCATTAGCGAACATTGTAGTTATTAATAATTATGCATAACAGGATATTGTAAAAATTACGTTATGAAGTTTTTATTAAAACATTTCTTACATACTGTTATGTTGGCTGGGCTGCAAAAATATTCGTTGTGGGCCGCATGCAGCCAAGTTTGACATGCTTGCTGTATGGAATTACTTAATAATCTTATTTCCAAAGTGTATCCTTTTGTATATTTTCAGTCATCTCAGCAACTATAAAAGAGCTGTTATTACTGAATAATGAATCCAAATGAAAGTATGAAAATTTAACTTGTTTTAAACTAAGTTTGTTTTAGGATTATTACTATGTAATGTAACATTTGTTGTCTTTGTTTTTCATCTGTTCTACCTTTACCAGATTGCTTCCTCCACAATTTCCTCAGGAAAAACCAGTGATCAGTGTTTATCCACCAATACGACATCATTTAATGGATAAACAAGGAGTATATGTTACCTCTCCATTAGTAAACAATGTATGTTTATGGTATATTTATTTCAGAGTAATAAAACAGGTGTATTACTTTTTTACTAAATACTTTAGAAATCTAAAAATGCACTTAAAATCTCATTTTGGAATCAGTAAGTTTCAAAACTCTTTTCCACTGTCTATGATAGTACTGATTCAAAGGCTGTTTTTTAGTGGCAAGGACCTGCTGAGGTTCACAGATATTCCGTAGTTTTTAGTAGAAATAAACTTCAGATATGCCTTAAAGTTCCCAAGCTGTGTATAACATTGATTCACGTGAATAATGTACTCTCAGTATTTACCTTTGAACCTTCCAATCTTTATAAATAGTGAAATGTGGAAATATTTTAGGTGCATCATTGATTAAATAGGCTTTTAATTTGATTTATGGTATTGATTCTATTAGAAAATATTGCAAGTTGTGGATTGCTGATATGTTTGACACAATGTCCTTTGCTTTCCATTTAATTCTTGACTTGCAAAAATTGGTTTTAATATTTAAGTTTTAGAGTGAAGTTATCCTAATGAGAACTTATATTCTTTTTCTGAAAGTGATTTTAATCATTCTGTATTACTGTTATTTTCAGTTTACAATGCACTCAGATCTTGGAAAAATTATTCAGAGTCTATTGGATGAGTTTTGGAAGAATCCTCCAGTTTTAGCTCCTACTTCAACAGCATTTCCATAGTAAGTATATTTATAACAAATGTTTGTATATATTTATTTTAATCAATGTAATCAAAATATAGTTTAAAAGTTCAGATGATGCTAAAAAGCACTCCTTTGTTTTTACATCCCCATCTTCACAAAAATACATTCATACTTTTCAGAGACAACTGTTCTTTTAGCTGCTTCTCTAATATTTACTTTCATCTTTTAAAAAAAAATTATTGATTTGAGAGAGAGAGAGAGAGAGAGAGAGAGAGGAAGGAGGGTGGAAAAGGGAGTGTAAAGAGAGAGAAACATTGATTTGTTGTTCATGTGCTTATGCATTTATTGGTTGTTTCTTGTATGTGCCCTGTCTGGAGATAGAACCTGCAACCTTGGTGTACTGCTCTAACCAACAAAGCTGCCCAGCCAGGGCTACCTTCATCTTAATAATATGTATATACTGCTATATTTTTATCCTATCATTTAAATATTACCTATTGGGTCCCTATTATGATTAATAAGGATTTTAGTTATCTTTCACAAATCTTCTCTCATTCAGTGAAATTATATCATAATTTTTATTTAAATAAATTTTTATTACTTTGACTACACATATCCTGTCACCTAAGTGCTTTACCCTAATTACATTTTCCTGTTATAACTTTTTTGCTTTTTTCTGGAGTTAATTACTTCCAATTTTTCATTGATTTTGTTTTCTTAGATCTTTTTAGTTTTCCTGCTAGCAGTCTTTTTGAGGCCCTGCAGTCTTTTACACTCTCCTGAGGGTACATCTAGCTTTCACAAACTCTGGTTAGTCCCAAAGCCACTCTCATGGTTTAGATTTTTTTGTCATAGCAGCAGTCCACTTCCACGTGCTAAAATCTTTTCTGGTTATTAAGGCTTCATAACATATTAGCCACAAAATTGTGGTTTAAAACAATGAGCACATTTATTGTATTCAGCTCAGAAAGAGTTCATCAGAGTGAGCTCTTATCTGCTTCGTTCATCATAAGGAGGCTCCCCTCAGAGGCCTTACCTGGAGGTGTCAGCTGGTATACCTAGATGTTACCTTTATGTGTGCTGGGCTCCCTCACAACATAATGGCTGGTGTTCTAGCGTGAACATCCTGAGAGCGAGCTATGAGAAAGCCATAATGACTTAGTTGCTGAAGTCCTTCACTTTTGCTACATTTGATTTGTTGAGGCAGTTGCAAAAACTTGACCAGATGCAAGGGGAGAAAAATCGCCTTTTCTTCTAGATAGTGGAGTGGCCTGGTTCTGCAAGGCCATATAGGACCAGAAATAATGCTGTGAACATTTTTGTAAATTACAACATGGATGCTTGGAAGATAAATTTTGAGACTTTTTTTTTTAAATCTGCGAATGTCTTTAATATACACTTACACTTAATAATTGGTGCAGTTCAAATTCTAAGTTGAAGTGTTTTTTCCACTTTGAAAGCATTCCTCTATTGTCTAAATATAGGCTATTGGTGCTAAGATGTCCAATGCCATTTTGATTTCTGATTTATATAACATTTTTTTATATCTTCGATATTCTGAAACTGCATGATGGTGCAACTTCCTGTTGCTTTTTTTTTTTTTTTTTACTTTTCAGAATAGTTATTGTATTTATCGCCCAGTCCTTCTGTTTAATTTTAAAGAACGTCATTTTGTTCACAAGTCAAGTGGCAGTGACATCTTGTGCCCGGACATCTGCATAGCTAGATTATCAGGTTCATTATGTCCATCAGCCCTAGCTCTCATCTTTGCCTCTGGTCTGTGTCCTGGAGTCATGAGCCTCACTGATATTCTTTATCTAAAAACATTATTTCCTGTCTTCTGTTAGGATAGGGCTAGATGTTAACTCATCATTCATCTTATCTGAAAATAGAAGCCAACAAGTTTACTTGCTCTCCTTTTACATAAGTTCTATGATAAAGTGCACATTATTATTATTTTTTAATATGAGCTGGTATACTTTATTTCAAATTTTTAAAAACATTCTTTATTGTTGAAAGTATTACATTATAGTTGTTCCCCCTTATCCCTCATTTACCCCCTCCAACCCGCCCCGCCCCGCCCCCTGTCCTATGCTAAAGTGCACATTATTAAAAAGGAAGTTTGATGCATCTCCTAGATTATTTTATAGGTTGTATCTATCAAAGGGGTCAAAATAAAGCAAAATGGTTCAGAATTATTAAGATTCATTCAAGAATAGTAAAAATATTCTGTCATGTTGATCATGTTGTTTCTAAAGAACGTATCTATATATAACTCACTAATATACCTATAGATAAAAGTAAGTTTTTAAGATAAAGATGAGAGATCCTTTGAAGTAAATAAGTTTATTTCAAAATGTTTTTAACTTCATTTTTTTCAATCAATAATATAGTCACTTGGCTTAAAATTCAGAAAGTATAAAAGAATATGAAGTGAAAAGTCACCCTGCCGCCTGGCTGGTATGGCTCACTCAGTGGTTGAGTGTTTACCCAATGCATGAGGAGGTTGCTGGTTCGATTCCTGGGTTGCTGGCTTGATCCCCAGCATGGGTGGTGTGCAGGAGGCAACCCATCGATGTTGATGTTTTTCTCTCATAGATGTTTCTATCTCTCCCTCTCTTTCCTCTCTTTAAAATCAATAAAAACATATTTTAAAAAAGTCACCCTGCCATTTCTGTTTCCCTGGAAACTTAGTTTTTCTTCTCAGAGTTGTTCATTTGGCTGTGTATGTATAGAATTCATACAAACATATATAGAATTCAAAATACAGTAAGATTTTATGCATATACAAGGAAATATGTGCATGTAGTATTTTATTTCCTTCTTTTTATACAAATGGTAGCATGCTATTAGCTTACTCTTTTTTTTTTCTTCAAATAATATGATTTGGAGAGAGCGTCCCATGTTGGTATATAAAGCATTTACTCATTCTTCCTTATGGCTGCAAAGTGTTTGGTTTATGGATGTACTATAATTTATTTATACAAGATTCCTTTTGTTGTTGTTAATCCTCACCCAATGATATTTTTTCTATTGTTTTTTTTTAGAGAGAGTAGAAGGGAGGGGGAGAGACAGAGAGAGAAATATCAATGTGAGAGAGACACATCAATTGGTTGCCTCCCACACACTCCCTGACCGGGCTGGGGATCAAGCCTGTAACCAAGGTACATGCCCTTGACCGGAATTGAACCCATGACCCTTCAGTCTGCAGACCAATGCTCTAACCATTGAGCAAAACCAGCCAGAGCTATATAAGATTCTTACTGATGGATAGTTTTGTTGTTTCCAGTCTTTCTTAAAAGGCCCACCCTCTTTGTCCTCAGTGTTGCAGGGAATAACTTTAAAAATATAATTTACCCAAATGTGAGTATATTTGTTGGATATATTCTCAAAGTGGTATTCATATTCGTAATTTTGACAAACACTGCAAAATTGCCCTACAGAGTAGTAGAGTAGTAACTTCTACTCCTATACATATATCCTTTGCCAGTGTAGTATATTACCAGAATCAATCTTTGCCAATTTATAAGAAGAAAATGTTTGTATAATTTTAGTTGTATTTATCTTATTCCAGTAAAGTTGACCACCTTTTTCTATGATTTAGATATTGCCCCCCCCCCAACTTGTGTATTCTGTCCTATTCTCCATTTTGCTACCCCCTCTCCCCCAACTTGTGTATTGTTTCCTAGTCTCCATTCTGCTATTAGGTTGTTAATCCTTTATCAGTTTGTAGGAACTCTTTATATATTAGGTCAATTATCCCTGTGTCTGTGATGAGTTTAAAAAATTTCCCCAGTTTGTTATTTGTCTTTTCTTATAATGGGCTTTGTTGTGTAGAGGTTTGTTTGTTGTGGTGTTTTTTTTTAATATCATAGAATTTGTCATTATTTTTTCTTATGACTTACGAATTTGGAAGTTCAATTTTTAATTTTTTGAGGAACCTCCATACTTTGGTAATAGAAAGTGGCTGCACCACTTTGTATGACCAACACTGCATAGGATTCTCATTTCTCCACCAACACTTCTTGCCCAGTTAGGAATTTATGACCAGTTTACCCTTGAGATTACTTTTAGTCACTGAACTTGTCAAATTTATTCCAGAGCTCCATTTTCATTCACAACTTTCTTTCGTTCTTTTTTCTTCTCATATTGGCTTAGTTCAACTGCTCAATCTTTGAGCTCTGATCGTTTCTTCTGCTTCGCCCAGCCTGTTGTTGGACCCCTCCAGTTTACTTTCCCCTTCAGTTATCATATTCTTTAGCTCTATGACAGCGGTTCTCAACCTGTGGGTCTCGACCCCTTTGGGGGTCGAACGACCCTTTCACAGGGGTCGCCTAAGACCATCGGAAAACACATATATAATTACATATTGTTTTTGTGATTAATCACTATGCTTTATGTTCAGTTTGTAACAATGAAAATACAGCCTGCATATCAGATATTTACGATTCATAACAGTAGCAAAATTACAGTTATGAAGTAGCAACAAAAATAATTTTATGGTTGGGGGTTACTACAACATGAGGAAGTGTATTAAAGGGTCGCGTCATTAGGAAGGTTGAGAACCACTGCTCTATGACTTCTGTTTGGTACTTTCTTACATTTCTTAGTTCTTTGTTAAAGTTCTCACTCTGGTCCACCATTCTTTTGAGCAACTTCTTAACCATTACTTTGAACTGTTTATCAGGTAAATTATCTCCATTATTGAGGTTTTATCTTTTTCTTTGGTTTGGAACATAGACTTTGTTTCTTTATTTTTGCTTGACTCTTTGTGTTGGTTTCTATCATGAGATAAAACAGTCTCCTCCCCCAGTCTTGACGATTGGACTAGGAGATGAACCTTGCCCTATCTCTTGAATGACTCAAACCTTTGTGATTATTCAAGCAGTCTATTATATTTTTAAGAGCTAACAGTAGTTCAGGGTGTGCCAGTTCCTTCCTGCTTCCCAGGCTCTGGGTGGTAGCAGCTTTTAAAGTATGCAAATATATACTGTCCTGTGGGACACAAGCTTAAGTCCCACTGGCCACAACATCCAGGCAATTTAGAAGTGTCCTGTTGGAGACAGTCTTAAAAGTCTGGCTCTAGGTAAGTGTATAATCTCCTTTCTGGGAAATACCAGCAAGCTGTAGAGAGGCAAAGGGAAAGTGCAAGATGGCGTCTGCCACCCATGTTCCCTGAGAGCACCTTTGTTAGCCTCTAGATATATGCCAAACCTGAAACCGGCCCCTCATGCCGAAGTTCCTGCACAAGCAAATAGGCCACTTTCATAGAAAGACTGGGGTGGGGTTGGGGGGTGTTCCTGCTGTCTGTACAGGGCCCTAGGGGTAGTGGTCTCCGTAACTACTGCAATTCTATTGGCCCCAGGAGCTCCAGCTCCCTGGCCTCCGAGCCAGGTGATCAACGGCATCTCCTGAATAGCAGACAGAAAAAGCCGGTGCACCAGATGCTTCAGTAACTGATTCTCAGTTTGCTGTAGCTCTGGGGAGCTGGTGGATGCCAGTCCCATTGGTGTGCGAAGCTAGATGTTTAGAGGCTCATCTTCATGGGGCTGGTTTTAAAAGTTGTGGAGCTCAAACACTTTGCTCCTTGGAGAGAAACTTTGGGTTTTGAGTTTCCTCCCAATTACGGTTGCCTTGCCAAGGGTGTGATTTATGGCAAGATTGTATCTCATCCTCTCATACCCATTTTGATGTCTTTATTTTTTTCTTATTTGCTTGATGTATAGAAGTCAGTTTTTAGGATTTCTTTCAGAAGAAATTATTCATATGTAGCTTACAGATTCTGTGTGTTCATGAGAGGAAGTGAGTTCAGGATCTTCCTACATCACCATCTTGAATAAGAACCCACATTGTATCTTTATATATTAACATTTTTAGCAACTCATCTACACATTTAATTTTTCTTTAAAATTTTCTAGAAAATCAGTTTGTTTTTTAATTCTTTATTGTTTTAAGTATTACATGTGTCTCCTCCCCCGCGCCCCCATTGACCTCTCCCGGCCACTCGCACCCCCTAGAACATTTCCTCACCCCCCTAGAAAATCAGTCTTGACTTTAAATCATATTTGTTCTAATACAGTGAAAGTTACTAAGCAACCTTCACTTGAATAAATTTTCTGAATTAAATGTTATTTACCATTCTCTCTATGAAGATATTGACTGTTGCCAGTGGAATGCTTAAAACTTAAATATGGCCCGTCTATTTGCTTCTGTTGAGAAGTTGAACTTGTATGGTTTCTAAAACATTTTTCTTCTTCATGGAAACCAAAATTTTCTTTTTTTTGGGCGGGGAGTGTTTATATTTTATCAAATTATTATAATATTTAATTCAGTCATAACAAGTGTCATCTGCCATAAACGGATTCCATCTGTAACATATGACAATTGTTACTTGAAAATTTAGGAATAATTTTACAATTAACCCTAACTTCTAATCTAATATTTCTCTTTCTCTTTAGCCTATACAGTAACCCAGGTGGGATGCCTTCCTATGCTTCTCAGGGCTTTCCATTTCTTCCTCCATTTCCCCCACAAGAAGCTAACAGGACTGTCAGTTCTTTATCTGTTACTGACACTGTTTCTTCATCAACAACAAATTATACAACAGCCAAACCTGCTGCTCCTTCATTTGGCATCCTTTCAAATCTGCCATTACCTGTTCCCACAGCAGACACTTCAGTGCAGGTTGGTATCTTCAATTACTGATATTTTACCTTGAAACATTAATTTAATGAACATTTATTAAATTATTTATATGTCTCCTTGTGCCAGCCACTAAGGTAGGCACAAAAGATAAAAAAGATTAGATCACATTTTCAACTCAGTTAACAAATTCAGAGAGGTCACCAACATATCAAATAATTGTAAATAAGGAACTTCCAATAGAGTAGAAGACATAGTCAGAAGTTATGTTGAAGACACAATTGAGGGAATGGTCAGTGCTGCTAGGGACCAAGGTAGAGCTTAGAAGGAAAATGTGAATTTGTTTTTTCATAACTTTATTCTTAAGTGCCTTAAACCCCGATACAGATATTAGGTGCTCAGTTAAAATGAGGCAGATAAATGAGTGAATGAATTTATGCCTGAGGCTAGATTTTGATACATGGTAATGAATTTGCCTGGATGACAAGTGGTTATATAAAGCATTCTCTGAAGAGGCAGCAGCATTAGCAGAGGCATGGAGGCATTACCAGATGGTGTATTTGTGAAGCTGCCTGTAAAAGATCTCTCTGGCTGTCATATAGGACTTAGGCAAAGGCACAAGAAATGACCATGTAGGAGAAGCAGATTGTGGAGGGTCTGCCATAGCATACTAAGGGCTTCAAGTGTCCAATTGGTTTAAAAATTCTCTTCCTTAATTAAGCTAGTAACTATTGCCATGTGGGAGTTTTCTGAGATAAGAGACTAATATTTGTGCATACAACATATAAAGGGATTTAAAACCTTCACTTTTAACCTTTAGTGAATATCACCCATAGTAATACTCAAATGTTATAAAACATTATATCTAGCTTTACTAGTTGTAGTGTTTGTAATAATTTAGAATATAGACCCAAGTGGACTTTGTTTTCCAAAATCTTTTATCATTGTATTAATGAATATTATGAACAAGCCACAATTAATAGTAAAACAAAGTTATAACTTTTCATGAGTCTTCAATTTTAAAGTCATCGATATTCAAATGATGGATACTGTTTCTTACCTGCCCTACTGTCTCACCGAACTTAGTCATGTAACTATTCAGACTTTTGTCAACTTATTAATGTTCTCCTATACTTAATTCCTTTCATTTGAGGTAACTTTATTCATATATTTCAATGAAATTCACATATAATTCTCCACACTTGTCACAGATATACTTAAGAGATTTATTTTATAGCCTGTACTTTGCCCAAGAAAGAGAGCTAAGAAGGTACTCACATGATCACCTCCCTCCCCCGCAAAAAAACAAAACAAAACAAAAACAGTAACTGAAAAGAATACAGAAAAAAAAGCGGGGAGAGTAAGGACAGTGTAAAGTGCAAAGATAAAGATGTGATAATGAGAACAGGAGCAGTTGAAAAGATGGCTGGAATATAATACCATTTCAAACTCTCTTTAGATAAGCCAGAATGGTTTTGGTTACAGGATGCCAGATGTCCCTGATGAATTTCCCGAACTCTCCGAACTAAGGTAAATGACTTGGAGAATAACATTGGTATTTGTTGTCTGTTGTATTTGTAAATACAAAACAGATCATCACTGTCATATCCATATTAAATAAAAATATTTTTAAATCCTCACTATTTCTAAATTGTGGTTGTCTTAATTGGGAAATTTTATAAATCAGTTTTTATGTTTTGTAGGTTGTGTTTATTGAATGACTAGTATGTACCAGGGATTTTTCTAGATGCTGGGAATGATCATTAGTTACCAGGATAACAATGTCCTTTCTCTTATGTGATTTACATTCTTGTGAAAATTATTTCATTTATATGTTCAATAAATATTTACTGAATGTAAAAAAATAATACCAATATTATTAATATGACTACTGAATGTAGGATAAGATTTTGTGGGTGTTTTACACTTTCTTTTTTTCTTCAGGATATACCACACCAGAAATGTACAGCCAAATACTATTTTTTCTCTTCAAATAATATATATTTTTTTAATATATTTTATTGATTTTTTACAGAGAGGAAGGGAGAGGGATAGAGAGTTAGAAACATCGATGAGAGAGAAGCATCGATCAGCTGCCTCCTGCACACTTCCCACTGGGGATGTGCCCGCAACCAAGGTACATGCCCTTGACCGGAATCGAACCTGGGACCCTTGAGTCCGCAGGGCGACGCTCTATCCACTGAGCCAAACTGGTTAGGGCTTCAAATAATACTTTTTCTGGATGATTATGTAACTTAGAAAAAGTTTGCTTTGAATTTTAAGAGACAGCTTTTTTCTTTAATATTGAATTTAGATTTTTAATCATGCATTGCTTTTATATGGATCTGTAGTCAAAAGTAAAAGATATGTTCAGAAAGGTTTAGGTGCCATCCCTATCCAAGTGCCTTTTTCACCCTACGGATATTTAGTTTTTATTTTGGCTTAACCTTCTATGCCTGCTCACATACACATAAATATATGCATTTTTTATTGTGATAGCCACATATCTGTTAGCTAAATAAGGCACTGAGGCTAAAATTGGGAGGTTGTGACTGTTCATACAGCCTACTCTTTATATAGTCCTACAGTGATTTGACACTACATTCAGACTACTTTATTATCCATGTGGTTGATGTTATATTTGTTTTGAAGGTTATAGTTTGCCATGTGTGTGCATCCAAAATTATTTAGAACCCTTCAGCTGGATAACTGAAAAATAGTGAATTTTTATCATAATGGAGAAAAACTAGATTATTGATAGTCATTAACACATTGTCTATTCTGTTTCTAGTGTGTCACAACTTACAAATATGAATGAACAAGAGGAGATATTACTAGAACAGTTTCTTACTTTGCCTCAACTAAAACAAATTATTACTGACAAGGACGACTTAGTAAAAAGTATTGAGGAGCTTGCAAGTATGTCTTCCTTTACTTGTTAAATTTCCTGAGAAAAATGTGACCTTTACCTAGAAATAAACCAGATTTTTATCTTACAGGAAAAAATCTGCTTTTGGAGCCCAGCTTGGAAGCCAAAAGACAAACTGTTTTAGAGAAGGTGAGTTGGTGCTCATTGTGAAGAAATTCATGTAATTTATAAATACAAGAAAACAGCATTTTTATTTTCTCTTTTAGTATGAATTACTTACACAAATGAAATCTACTTTTGAAAAGAAGATGCAAAGACAGCATGAACTTAGTGAGGTAAGATTGTTTAGCTCTTTGTATTTACCATAAGAAATTTTTATCTTAATGTGTGTCAGCCACATTGTTACTTTCGTTTTTATCAGAAAGCATTTATTAGGTGTCTGACTTTATAAAGCCTTTAGATGCTGATGAACAGCCCTCAATTATGCAGCATTATAAGTTATTTGTGCTCATGCAAGAGCATATTTGGCTCCAAAAAGAAAAATATTAAAATCCCCATAAATAACTTTTCTGGGAAAGTTATTATAAAGCCAGCTTAACGCTTGCAATAAACTTTAACTATAGACTCACTTGTAAGCTTCTGGGGGGAGTGGTGGTGGGGGGGTAGAGGGGGGGGGCGGTCTCCTCAGCCCAGCCTGCAACAACGCAAGTGTTCCGTGCCCGGCCTGGCCAGAGGCATTCTGCAGCTGGGCACGGAACGCTTGCCTCGTTGTTCCCCTCTGCACCCCCACTCGCGCCCCCTGGCTGCTCCATGCCCGCTGCCTAGAGGCCCTCCGCGGCCGGCCACCGGGGTGGAACGCTTGCTTCGTCGCTGTGGCGGCAAAGCAGGCATTCCACCAGGCCGCTCACGCTGCCCACTCTCAGCGGCTGCGGCCCACCCCCCACCCCACCCCCACCCCCCCGGGACTGGGGGACTCTGGCAGGGCTGAGTGGACTGGGCGCTGCCATCTTGTGGCTATGGGCATCACCATCTTTGTGATGGAGTGATGGTTAATTTGCATATTACCTTTTATTATATAGGATGCCTTAAATGAAAAGTGAGCAAATAGAAAAATATATAAAAGTATAAAGTATAATTCACCACAAATAAATTTTATGCTAGAAATCTGGTTATATGAAAAATGAAAAGCATTTTATAAGTTAAACTCATTTTTAAAAAATCTCTAAAAGTAAAAGAAAATAGAGTTCATAATCTTTATATCTCATATTAGTAACTAACATCATAATTAATAATATTCTGGTGTTTTTAAAATCAGGAGTTCTGAGAAGGTAAAGCCAATGTAATAAAACATAAAAAAGAAATAAAACAACAGCAAAATAAAAAAAGATGGTAAAGGAGAATATAAATTTATAATGGATTTCAGAAATGGTCATTCTTTAGAATAAAAGAAACAACTACCATTGAGCTATCATTATGTGTTTTACATTGCACTGAGCTATTGACATATACCAGTATTGCCCATTATTCCCCCAGTTCTCTGAGGGATGTTTTATTACTAAATAGCTTTAGTTCCTTCATTTAGTTCCATTTTGAGTGAATTTTACATGAAGTACGGCAAGGGTTCGTTGATTCTGCATGTGGATCTCCAGTTTGCCCAGCATCAGTCGTCAAAGACTGTCCTTTCTCCATTGAGTGGTCTTGGCACCTTTAGAAAATATTTGGCCATGTATGTGAAGGTGTATTTCTGGGCTTGCTATTGCATATTGGTCTATATGTCTCTTCTTGTCAGTATAACACCGTTTGGATTACTATAGCTTTGTAGTAAGTTTTGAAATCAGGAAGTATGGATCCTCCAACTTTGTTCATTTTCCAGATTGTTTTGGCTATTTGAGGTCTCCTGAGCTTAAATGAATTTTAGCAGAACTTATTCTATTTCTGCAAAAAAATTTAAAAAAACCGTGGAGATTTTGGTAAGGATTGCATTAAAACTAGATCATTTGGGGTAATAATTGTCTTCTTGACAATAATCACGTCTTCCCATCCATGAATACGGAATATCTTTCCACTTTTTTATGTCATCTTCAATTTCTGTCAGCAGTGTTTTGCAGTTTTCAGTGTACAAGTCTTTCACCTCTTTGGTTAAATTTAATCCCATCACTTTTGTCATGTTTTATTCATTAGAAGTGAGTCACTAGGTCCAGCCCACATTGATGGGAAAGAGGATTACACAAGGGCAGGGAAATCGGGAGTTGGGGCTCATTGGGGATCATCTTAGAGGATGCCTACCACAGTGATCTGATTGCTGACTCTCTAAGAGAGGACAGTGATTTGCCCAGGTTCTTTCATTTAAGAGTTTGCAGCCAATGGCTTGGTCTCTCTCGTGTTAGGTATCTACCCCCATATCCAAAACTGAGGACATGGGTGGTAGCAGATTTCCCCAAAAAGAGCCTATGTAAGGCATATAACAAATTGCTTCTCCCTCCCTCTGCCTTGTGTTCTTTCTCTCTAAGGAGTTTTTCTGGTCATTGTGAACTAACATAATACTTGATTTTCTTTTTCAGAGCTGTAGTGCAAGTGCCCTACAGGCAAGATTAAAAGTAGCTGCACATGAAGCTGAGGAAGAATCTGATAATGTTGCTGAAGATTTCTTGGAGGGAAAAACTGAAATAGATGATTTTCTCAGTAACTTCATGGAAAAGAGAACAGTATGTAATATTCTTCGGTTAGGACAAGTGACAGTGTAATATCAAATTAAGTATATTCATAAGTAAAAAAATGTTAGCACATTACTGAGCTGGGGTTTTGAGTGCCATGAAAGCAAACTGGAAGAGCCTCTTTGAGAAAGATAGCAGCATCCTTCTATCACTTTAAACCTTCTGCTTGTGAGTACACAGCAGGTAAATCAAATAATGGTTCTTTTTTAGAACTGATAGTATGTCATTCTGAAGTAAAGCTAGTAAATTAGCTTTAAGTTTGTGCTTAATAGTTGTAATATTCTCCTGTAATGACTTGTTTCCAGTTATTCTAGGAGAATGAGCTATAGAGATTAATTTTTTAAATGTTATTAAGAACATTCTGGAATAACTTCTGTTTGATGATTACTAGTATTTCCATTATATTTAAAGAAAAATCAAAGTCTGCTTGCCCTTTAATAAAGTCCTTTATATTTACCTAATTTCTCTGAAACATCACATTTTAAAAATAACCTTTTGTTACTAAACTTTGTAAAATATGTGCTATATATATGCCTATTCTGTTAAGGAGGGTGGGGCAGGTTTTATTACCCCATTTCCCATGAGAGAAAATTGAAATTCAGGGACATTAACAACTATGGCTGTAGCATTAGTAAGGCATTGATTTTTCATCTGTTGTTCGTTGGTACTATATAACTGCACCTTGAAGTGTTTGTTTGTTAACCTTCCTGGTTAACAATGGTAGGATTTATTTTCATATTTTAAAAACACGGATATTGATATATAATCAGAACTGACAAAGATTCAGTTGTTTTACATTCTGGAAGTTTATAGGTAAAGGTTATCTGCCAAACAAAATTAATTTTTAATTCTTAAATTCTGAACTGCCTTAAGTATCAAAATGTAAGTGTCAACAGGTTAAAAGAATCCTACATAGAATTCTGTCATAATGTAGGAAGGAGTAGGCACATGGTTGGAGAAGTGACTGATATTTTAAATATCTTCTAGATTTGCCACTGTAGAAGAGCCAAGGAAGAGAAACTTCAGCAGGTGATAGCAATGCACAGCCAGTTTCATGCTTCATAGGTAAGTTGCATTCCAGAAGGCTTATGTCTCAAGCCTATTGCCTGACTATTCTTTCACTGAAGTGTTGCTTACCACTGCCTGTTGAGCCAGCTTTAAGCATGCCACCATCATTATAGCTCTTATGCTATGTAACATATAGAATATTTTGCATTATATGTTAAGCATAATGTTACATACATAAGCATATAGCCAATAAAAATCTTCTGGATATTTTCTCACTATGATGTCAGCTTAAATGAAAAGTTTTTTTTCAACATCTGATAACTACTGATGTATTGTAAACTATAATTGGTTCCTTTCTCTCAGCTGGTGTGTGAAGTATACCATATCCTCATTAGTTTCCTTTGTCTTTGCTTCCTTTAAAATGAACTTCTGTTCTGTCTCCTTTCCATCTCATGAGGATTTTTCCAATAACATTCTGGCCAATTCCCTGGCCAGGGTTTCTCCTTCCTGCACAGGACTGACAGACTAATCTTCTTAAAATACTACTTCATGATTAACTTCTCTATGCTAGAACCTATAATGGGCCCCTAGCAATGGCGGTATCAGTGACAAATTTTTCTCTAGTTTTAAACCTTCTGTAATCTGCCACATATTTGAGATTATCCATTTTAATTTTCCATTTTTCCCTTATGCTATCTCATGTGTCATGTTCTTTTGTCTACACCATGACTTTGTTCATGCTCTCACTTGATCTCAGGACACCCTTCCTTTTCTTCTCCATCTGTCTTGGCAGGGAATGATTTGGTTGTAAGAATTAATTCCCACCCTGACAATTAAAAAGCTGTGTTATTGGGTAATGCTGGGATACTTTGTAGAACTAAGTACAAGAAAGTACAGCTCAGTCACCAGAGAGTGAAAACATGACTAAAGGCCACACTAACGAAAGCAGCTCCTCTTCCTCACACCCTTCCATCAACAGTTCAGGCAGCCAGTGGAGACTGACAGGGGTCTCACTACAAATCCCTGGGAAAGAGATTGGCTGGGATGGGTGGTATCCATCCTGACCTCAGCAGTTTGGCTTGGAGATTGGTGTCGTGTGGTCCTCTGCCCACTCAGCTGGGCTGAAGGAGTGGACTTTGAGGAAGGGAGCATAGGAGAGCCCCTAAAAGAGGGAACAGACTACAGGGAGGGAAATCATGGGCATTTCTGATCTCTAGGACACCCTTCTCTCAATGTAGTTGTGTTTAAGATTAGGGCCAGCATTGTATTGTTACACCTTATTTTACAAATTATGCTGATTTTTAGAGAGAGAGGCAGGATGAGGGAGGAAGAGAGAGAAAAACATTGATATAAAATAATCAATCTGCTACCTCCTGCAGACTCCCTACCAGAGACCGAGCCCACAACCCCATCATGTGCCCTGACCAGGAATTGAACCAGCAGCCTTTTGGTGCACTAGACCAGCGGTTGACAACCTTTTGGACCTCATGGACCACCGGTTGGCGACCGCTGCACTAGACAACTCCCAACCAACTGAGCCACATCGGCCAGGGCAAGGGTTGAAAATTAATATCAAGTGTGCCTTTCTCACAGCTTGAGAAAACGACGGGCACTGAGCAGTTGCTTACTTAGATGAACATGCTAGAATCCTTTCCCACCTCTTTCCCTCGTGGTCAAGTTATCTTTATAGGTAGATCTTACTGGGATGAACATTTCTTAGGTTTTTTAAAATTTCTTTTCTTTCTAGATTTTCCTGAATACATGAACTGCTGCAAGAGGAATGGGACACATAACTAAGCACATTTATATTTATGATTTGCAGATTGGCACTTCATCACAGCAGCTGACTTCACAGATATACTGTATAGATTGTATACAGAACTAAGACCGATTTTGTACACATCAGAATGATAGCTCTGATCTTGACTTTGAGAAATTTTTCTGCGCTATTTGCACTAAAAATGTTTATTTATTATTGATAAATCCTATCATATTTAAGTTCCACTGCTCCTCTCTTATTGGTTACTTATGCATGTAATTTTGGCTAGTTTCAATATTTTATAAAATTACTTCATTTAAATTTGTATTTTTAATTTGAAATGCCTCGTTTCTTTATCAAAAATGGTTGGTGTAGATTTTTTCCCTCTCAGCCTTTTATGAAAAATTACTATTTTCAACAGTAGAAAGACTTATTTTTCTTCTTTCTTTCTGGATAATCAAACTTTCAAAAACAATTTCTTTTAAATATTCCAGGTGTCAGTAAACATTAAACCTGCCAATGTGCCATCTCAAGAAAGTAACTTTTAATACGTATAATAAACCAAAAGAATAAACCAGCTGTTTATATATTGTTGTTTTATTTTTAAAACTAAAGATGCATTTAAGAAGCAATACAGGTAAATATTTCACCTAATAGAAGAAAATTGTCTTTTATTTAAACTGGTCCAACATAAACTTTCATGCAAATTTTTAATAGAAGTATGTGATGTGGTTGGATAAGAATAGGCTGTCTAAATTACTAATGTTACAGTTAAAAACAACTTTTGTTAATAATTAGTAAATCTGTACCTAATTAGAAAGTCAGTGAAATTTTCTGACCTTTACTATGAGTTAGCTTTTCATAAGAGAAAAACTATAATAATAAATGAAATTAATATTTAATTTTAGGAGTTTGAGTTTATAGTTAATTTAATTGAATTTTTCATTTACCTGGTACTATGTTCAGCAGTTTGCCTCTATTCCATATTACAGAATGAACACAGTTAATGGATAGCTGTAAAAGCTAATGAGAAAATGTATACCCGAGGCTTGGTAGATAGTACCTCAATCACAAAACAACCTAATGTATACTTTGTTTAAAATTCATCCCAATGTGCTTGTCATTTCAAACACCAGCATACAGTACAGTTTGTCTTTTCTTCATTTTTCTGTTCACCCAGAAAATATTTTTGGCAATAGAGTTTTAAGAAAAACAAAATTATGTTTAGACTTGAAATATGTTTAATATTTGGTCTGTGTTTAGGGCTAGTTAGTATTCACATGGACTTTAAAGATGGACTTTGGATAAAGAAATGATCTTTTATTAATTGCCTGTCTTCCTCACACTGTGCTAGGGTATGCCGTTTGATCTTCAAAATGACCAGAGGAGGAAGGAATAATAACTACTCCGGATTTATAGATAGGTGAGCTCACTTCTAAGGTTACGGCGGAGCCTTTGGGGTATTCAGAAACCTTTCCTTATTGTTCTAGCCAGTGGAGCTCCAGTTTTCCCTGCGGTCCCTGCAGTGGAGGGCATAGTGGTCCCAATCTTTGGCCAACAGGTAGTTTTCTTATATACCAGGTGGATCTCAGAATAAGACACCAGCAGACCACAGCCGTTCTACAAGGATGTCAGTTCATTTGATCCAGTAATATCATTTAACGCCTACTAAGAATGAGGCATTGTGGAAATACTATACAAATATAGGTAAGACCTGGTTTAGGTCAGCAGTTCTCAACCTGTGGGTCGCGACCCCTTTGGGGATCGAACGACCCTTTCACAGGGGTCGCCTAAGACCATCCTGCATATCAGATATTTACATTACGATTCGTAACAGTAGCAACATTACAGTTATGAAGTAGCAACAGAAATAATTTTATGGTTGGGTCACAACATGAGGAACTGTATTTAAAGGGCCAGAAGGTTGAGAACCACTGGTTTAGGTGCTTACCTAAAGCAAAAAAAAATTTTTACATAGTCTCTTCAGCCACATAAATAATTCATCGTAATATATTTGTTCTTTTTTGTTATTGTTGTTATTCCTCACCCGAGGATATTTTTCCATTGATATTTTAGAGAGTGGAAGAGAGAGGGAAAGACAGAAACATCGATTGATTGCCTCCTTCATGCACCCTGACCAGGGCCTGGCCAGGGAGGAGCCTGCAACCAAGGTACGGGCCCTTGACCGGAATCAAACTCGGGACCCTTTGGTCCGCAGGCCAACTCTATCCACTAAGCCAAACCAGCTAGGGCGTATATGTTTGTTCTTTAAACTATTCCAGTTTTTTTTCTATACCAGTTAACATAGCTTGGTTTCTCCTTCCAAAATTAATGTATTGGATAATCTCCTTACAACCCAGTTACTAAAAAGAGGAGTTTAATCGTCACTGTCAGCATTTAAAACACAGATATAGGTTATATAAGTCATCCAGGATAGAAAAAGTCTGCATTTGAGTCTGCCTGTGTGAATTTTGGTTCTGTTACTGCAACAGGAATTAAGTGACTCTTTTTGTAACTTTATGGCTATACTATTTTCTTCTTATATGTTATTTATCTCTCTCCAACAAGGCAACTTTTGTTTCACTAGATGTTTCTTCAGAAGTTAAGGTCACCCAGTAAAGTCCCATTTCAACGGGCAGGGGAATAATTCTGCTTCAAATGGGCATTTTAGTAAAACAGAACTAATTCCAGCAGTCAGAGATGGAACAGTGTAATTTAAAACATGTTAACCACGTACAGTTTCTGAAGTGGCAGAACTTATTCCACTGGTTAAGTAGAAACAACCAAATTCTCTAGTTCTTAATTGGGATTTTCCCTCATTGAGATATTGCCTACTGCCCGACCGGCATGGCTCAGTGGTTGAGTGTCAGTCAGCCTATGAACCAGGAAGTCATGGTTCGATTCCCGGTCACGGCACATGCCCGGGTTGCAGGCTCGATCCCAGTGTGGGGCATGCAGGAGGCAGCCGATCCATGATTCTCTCTCATCATTGATGTTTCTATCACTCCCTCTCTCTTCCTCTCTGAAGTCAATAACACTATATGTTTAAAAAAAATTATCTACTAACTTTACACTGTTACACTTCACTGGTGGTTGACCCACACTCTTGGTAATATTGTCTCTGGACTAGTAATCAGAGCTTGTTAATAAGAAAGCTAATAGGTTCTGAATTCATATATACTAACCAGAGAGGAAATGTTGCTTCTACTTTATTAGGTATTTGACCCGTGTTAGAGGAAAAAGTGAGTTATAAGTGTTAGCATTTTTTAAAACGTGAGGAGAAATAAGATATTCCAAAATAAAGCAACAAGATTATTATAACAATTCAAAAAATATTATCTAAGGAAAAGTTAGAGTGATCATGAAACCTGAAAGATTAGCTGAAGCAATTACAAAGCTCTTCAGTTACGGAAATATACCTATTAATCAAAAGGTTACATCTCAACACTGCCCTCTGTTGTTAGAAGTATTAATGACAGGCAGGAAGGATGATAATGTCAAATGTTTTAGGAAATAAAATATGCATCAGGAAATGAAATAAGTGGGAAAAATGAAGATAGCAGGCGTGCAGGCAAAGGGTCAGAGCACTTTTGAGCTGAGCAGGTACATGCTGTGACCAGGAAGGTTTATGTAGATAACCTTAGGTGATGCTAGAGGTCATTCATTGTTCTGTAGTGAATAAAACTTTCATAGACTAGAATAATTTTCGAAATGGGATAATACCCTTAATATTTATTTGACAAAAAAAATGTATACTTCCTGTTCTTCAACACCTAAGGAAACTAAGAGTTGGACTCCGCCACCCCTTTCCATTGCTATATTTTATAATTATCGATTACACGTACCATTTCTTGAGTTACTTTTTATCTTAAATTGCACTGTTCCCTTATTTTGGAAGGTGTTTCTTGCATGTCCTTTATGTTGGAGCTTGAGGGAAGCTTCAGGCCATTAGAAACACGGCCTCGTCAGAGTCCCGGTCCTTGGCGCTGTCCTCGCTGGGCGCACACTCCCCTCCACTTGGAGAGCGGCAGCTTAGATCCTCCACGCCAGACTCCTGGTCGCTGTTGGCTGACAGGTCTGGGTCTGAGCTTTTCAAGTTGTCCTGGGTTAGGATCAGAGCGGAGTCTTCGTCGCCTTGGGAGGGGCTCCTGGATGGGAATGACTTCATGTTCCCACTGTAGTCCTGGGGAGTGTTGGCCGCGCTGTTGTCTGAGGTGGAGAACCCCGGGTGTTTGCTGGGCTCAGCTGGCTTGCTCTTCACTTTGGAGCAATTTAACTGGACTTTTTGGATTTTTTCCAGCCTCTAAAAAGGAAATAATTTCAGGGGAAATGATAAATAATTTATCTTTTTTACATATGCATGCCTTTAGTAACCATTACCTTCCAGCTGAGTATCATGGTAAGAACGGGATTTAGAAGGACTTGGGTTCAAAGGTACACTATGACTTTGGACAAAATAATTAGGTCCTGTGAGGCCTGGTTTCGTCATCTGTAACATAAGGATGGTAATACCTGCCTCAGCATTGTTTTCTATAAAATGCAAAAACAGTAACAGGAAAGCACCTGGTAGTCAGTAGTCATCCTTCCTTCTATGCCTATATGCCACATTTTGTTTACCCGTTGATCAGTCGATGGACATTTGGATTGTTCGGAATGCGTTTTACCAGTTTTCTTCCTTTGATGTCAGTGAGGAAGACATCATTCATTCAAAAAGCATTCATATTAGGTTATGTGTAAAAGTACTGTACTAGGCGGTACAGATCCAGCTATAGGGAATTTTGTGTAGAGGCGGAGTTCCTGTAATGTAGGAATTTAGAAGAGGCAGGAATTACTTCAGAGGGTGGGGTGCTGTGGTTAGAGGGAAGAGATCAGAGGAAGCTGCAGGGAGGAGGGAGCATACACAGGACAAGGAATTTAACTTGGACATGATGGTTAGAGCATTCTGGCAGCAGGGACAGTGAGTAGAAAAAGGAAGGAAGGTGTCAGTTATGCATAACAAGCAGAGAATGGTTAAATTTGATCAAGGGGAGTAGTGGAGAATGAAGTGTAAAAGGTAGGTTAGACGAGTGTGGGAAAATCTCATGTGTAAGGCTAAGGAAGTTTGTTATAAGGAAAAAAGGTTTTAATTACAGTGCTTTTAGGGAGTTAAGTAATTTTTTTATTAGTATTTTAATATGAATACTGGAATAGATTAATACAATCATCAGCTTTTCATAAAGCTTGGATATCTTTGGGAAGACTAGATAAAACTGACCCAATGATGACATGAGTGGACTTTGAATGGCAAGGCTTTTATCACAACTCCGAAATTCTAAACACCTAACTTATGCCTCATTGTTAATTCTACACGTTCTTTAATTCAGGGTCTCTCCGCCCTATGACAGTCTCAGGGCACTCTAAACATTCTCCGTCGGAATCTCTAGGCTCGGAGCCCCAGCATCAGGATTTTTTATATCATTATGTACTAGTAATTAATTCTCCAGAAAGAATTCATGTTAGTGCTCCCAAATAACAGTAACAAAAAATCCTGACCTATTGTAGGAACAGCTGAGTAGTTCGGCGCACTGTGGAAGTGAGCCTCAAACCAGATGTCGGAATGTCTGAAATACATTCAGTGCTGCTTAGGTTTGGGCTCCAGTTTTCTGGGTGCTCACCTGGGGGGTCGGGAGGGGTTGTGTTTCAGGTTATCCGCTGGCTAAAAATACGAAAGTCTGTGTTGCTGCGTTTCACGTAGCCTGAGTCCTGACAGGCTTCCATGGAGCAGCAATGGTCAGGAAAGTGTGTCTTACCTCTTCTAGGGCCTCCAGTTCTTCCTCCAGCTGCTGCGTTTCCTCCTTCACTGCCATGAGGTAGTCGGTGACCGACTGTCGGGGCTGCAGCCCCTTCTCAAAGCGGTTGTACATGCCACTCCAGAACCTGGAAGGGACAGCATAGCTCCATGATGCAACCATGTCCTACTGTGAATTCACAGGCGCAAGGCCGCTCGGGTATCTCCCATTCCTCAGTCCCACAGTCCTAATAATCACCAAGTGCAAGTTCTGGGCTCAAGAAGCCACTTACTTAATTTCATGTTGATGTTTTCCTTGTGGGGGATCAGTAAATTTTTTTGGACAGAATAAATTCATGAATTTTATATATGAATTGAGTTAGAAGGCATATAATTTTCTAAAGTAGATCGAAGTACCACATGTTACTATTTTCTTTTTTATATTTTTTGGTTTAAGAAAATGGCTCTTTGTTTTGAAGTAAACTTGGAAAAAGAACCTTTTAAATTTGAGGATTTAGCTTGTTTTTATCATAACCACCAAAAATTTACATTTGCATTTGCAATGAATGGTCCCCCTTTTTATCCTACACAACAATGCAAACTGGAATGCAAGTGAGAATCGGGGATATCGTGGGTGCACTCTTTACTTAGAAAAGTACTTACAGGGCAGAGACAGGGTCGTTCATTGTTTTATACACAGTTCCTGGAACAGGGCTTGGTCTACATTTAACTGACAAGATACTTGGCTTATTCCATCCATCTTTTCTTTCTCCCCCAACCCCACCTTTTAAATAATTGGAACTTACCAGTTTTACAGATACCATTATTACAGAACATGAACTTCTAAGATAATTTCTTATTTAGGGGAAAGTCAAGGGAGAGGAGACACTGGCAAAAAATCAGGTCAGATATTAAAACATCCTTCTTTGTTGTATTTTGTGTCCAAAAAAGCCCTGAAGCTCAGTGTTTCCTACCCTTTGGCCTGAATATTAAACAGCGCTGGCACTGAGCTCATACCCCTTCCCAGTAAGGTCCTAGAGGTTTACCTACTTGTACATGAAGTTGCATGGCGTTGTGGGGAGACGAAGGATTCCCTGGGTCTGACTGTGATCAGCTCTAAAGAGAGGATTCATGTAGTCGGCCCGATTCTTCCACAGGTGAGCCCATAAAGAATATGTTCTTTCTTGAATTCTGTTGTAAAGGAAATAAGCCTGAAAATGACCTATCTTGGTTCTTTTTTATTTGAGAGAGAGAAACATCAGTTTGTTGTTCCACCCATTCATGCATTCAGTGGTTGCTTCTTGTATGTGCCCTGACTGGGTGTCAAACCTACAACCGTGGCATATCGAGACGATGCTCCAACCAACTGAGCTACCTGGCCAGGGCTATCTTGATGCTTATAAATAGTAGACTTTGTGATATTAAAGCTAGAAAGGGACCAGTAATTATCTGAGTATCACGTGTCCGTGTTCTGTAGCAGGGAAATTTACACTTCGTTTTCATGGCATAGCAGAGCACTAACCTCAGCTCTTCTGTTCTCTGTACTGAGTGTAAAATAAAACTGTTATGTAATTTTTTTTTTTTTTACCCTAAATCAGTGGTTCTCAACCTTCTGGCCCTTTAAATACAGTTCTCATGTTGTGACCCAACCATAAAATTATTTTTGTTGCTACTTCCTAACTGTAATGTTGCTACTGTTATGAATCGTAATGTAAATATCTGATATGCAGGATGGTCTTAGGCGACCCCTGTGAAAGGGTCGTTCGACCGCCAAAGGGGTTGCGACCCACAGATTGAGAACCGCTGCCCTAAATAGTCATAAACTTTTATTCTTTGCCAGGTATTATTTAAGTGCTTCTATGTTTTCTCTCTTTAATCCTCACTGAATTCCTGTGAGATATGTCTGTATTACAGATAAGAAAACTGGGGCTGAAAGAGATTAAATAGTTTCCCAAAGTCACATAGCTAGTGAGTAGAACAGCTGGGATTCAAACTCAAACAAATACCACTAAAGTGGCTAGTCTATCATAGAGGAGCACAAAACTGTCTAGGAACACAGCAAGCTTGAAGGGCGCAGTCCGCTGCTTCCAAATCATTACCATCTACCAGGAAGCACACTGGAAGTTTCTTGCAGAAGCAAACTAGCATCCACGAGAAAATGTCATTTTCCTTCTGTTCAGCCCATTTCCCAAATTAAACCTGATATTATATAGACCACAGTTAAAATCACTTTAACTTTATGAGAATTTCAAACATTTTCTCTCACTTGCAGTTCATAAATCCCTTTGCTGTTTTTAAGTTTCTGCTTTACAATTTATTTAAAGTTTAAATTTCATCTACTTTTTCCCTGTGGATAGGACAATACAGTTTTAGCCTAAATAAGAGAGTTTCAAATTTGCTTTCCCAGTTATATTTACAATCTGCATGTGATTATATCTACCAAACAGGTGTGTTTCCTTCTAAATGCAAAAATCACTTTCTCTGACTCTAGGAAGTTTCCTTTCAGCGTTAGTGTGCCAGGTCCGCCGGCCCGTGTGGATATCAGGAAGAAGCTGGGGAAATGAACTTGTACCTACCTGTGTCGGATGATTCATATGAAGCGTTATGTCAGGAAAAAGGAAAGAGCTTGAATCTGTCAGTATAGGTGTGTGGCTAAAATAGTCTTCACGTTATGAAAGGGCATCTGAAATTCTCAGTCACAAAATTAAATACCAAAACACTTACTTGAGTTCTCGTCTCTCCTTTTGACTGTTACATAGGAAGTTTCCAAACTGGCAGGAATATATGTGATGTTGAATGTGAATCAGAAACCGCTCATTGAACTCAAACGCACAGGGAAATTGTTCCATTAACTGCCAGACACACTCGCTCATTGAACTCAAACGCACAAGGAAATTGTTCCATTAACTGCCAGACACACTCGATAAACTGGTCAATAACTGGAGAGATTTCTTTTGGATCACCGTCTAGATTGCCATATCTATAAAATAAAGCATTAGGAAAGTTTTATAGCCAATTATTTTGTTTGCTTTTTTAATTAGAAAGTTATAAATACAAAAACAACCAACAAAAGCAACCCTAGTTCCTAAGTAAATCTTAGCTTATAAATCCAAAATGCAAAGAAGTGGGGAAAAAATAAATTAAAATTTCAGTTTCAGGAGAAACTTAGTAGTGAAGATTTGGGAAAAGAAGGGAAACACTTATGTTAAAAGTACATTAAATTTTAAAAGTACACTAAAGCCTGGCTGGTGTGGCTCAATGGTTGAGCCTCAATTTATGAACCACTGTTCGATCCCAGTCAGGGCACATGCCTGGGTTATGGGCTCAATCCCCAGTAAGGGGCATGCAGGAGGCAGCTGATCAGTGATTCTCTCTCATCGTTGTTTCTCTCCCTTCCTCTCTGAAATCAAAAATATATTGGGGGGAAAAGGGTACATTAGAACTTTTGAATAAACCTCCACTTTGTTTCAATTAGTGAAGAATTATCTAAGCAACTTTAGAGTTTTGCACTTTTGCGTTGTTTTGGGGGGAAGGAATTAGTAAAGACAACTTTTTAAAAAATTGTGGTTTCCCAAGTCTCTAGGGCAGCGGTTCTCAACCTGTGGGTCGCGACCCCTTTGGCGGTCGAACGACCCTTTCACAGGGGTTGCCTAAGACCATCCTGCATATCAGATATTTACATTACGATTCATAATAGTAGCAACATTACAGTTATGAAGTAGCAACGAAAATAATTTTATGGTTGGGTCACAACATGAGGAACTGTATTTAAAGGGCCAGAGGTTGAGAACCACTGCTCTAGGGATATTTCTGTTTCTAGAACAGTACTAAAACAGCATATAATTTCCATGTGACCACAGATGCTAATATACCTTTCTATCATATCTTTGTTTTTCAAGAGTACATCAGAGAATCTTGAAACTTTCAAGAGATCAGAATCTAAATAAAGACTAGTCTCTTACAGTGTTGTATGAATTTCAGAAAGAATACAAAAGGGGTAATTTGACTGCCATCAGGTATAAAATAACTTAGAAACTCATCTCAACAATGAAAGATCCACTTGAGGAATAGAAAATGAGTAAGGATTGGTTTAGTTTTTTTCGAGAATGGAAACATTAGAAATTGTCTGGAAACTTCTCAAGAGTTTCAGTTCTACTCACCTAAAAAAAATGATAGCTTTAAAAAGGATTGCCTAGTCTTTCCTCATAAAACAGTGATCCATCTAGTCTTCAGCATTTCCCAATTCTTTCTGTCCATATGTCCTCTATCTCAGAGATTTTAACTGCTTAGCACATACAGTCAGAACCCCAAAACTGATAACAATGATCTTAAGGTTACTTAATTGTTTGAAGGCTTTAATTCATTCGTAAAATGGAATCATTTTGCTTTCCTGGAAAAGTAAGTACCTAATTAAATTATTAGCATGCTGCCTAAATTTAAACTTTAACACAAAGGGCCAGAGTACACCAGCTATAACATTGAACATTTTGGAGGTTAGAGAACACAGTCAGGCATTATCATCCACACTAACAAAATGCGGCTGGGGTCTCCAAAAACAGTAGCTTCTGTGTATCTGAAAGCCTCATATACGGGCCAGGCAAGGAGTTAGGCTAGTTATGTAAACTTTTTAAAAACCCTTGCTATAAGCTGTGGAATAGGGAGGGTAGCCCCGTTTCACGGATGGGATGCCAACGCTCAGAGGGGACAGACACCCAAGGCCACGCAGCTGGTAAATGCCACAGCCTGCATCTGGCTGCAGTGCCTCGGCCACTGTCGTGCATTTCCTCCCCAGAGACGTCACCCAGGACATAAGTGCCTCAGGACAACCCAAATGGCCTCCCTCAGTGAAAGATCAAAGAAGACTTCCACAGGCCTTTCACAACTTGCAGCTTAGAGTGCATGTCTGCACCTCAGAAATGGAATAGTTAGCATTCGTTCTCATCAGAAGGACTCAGAACTTCATTTATCTGTGATACAAGGTGCACAACGAAATTTTAACTTTTTAATGAAGATACACAAAGACACTTAAAAGGCAGTGGTTCTCAACCTTCCTAATGCGGCGACCCTTTAATACAGTTCCTCATGTTGTGGTGACCCCCAACCATAAAATTATTTCTGTTGCTACTTCATAACTGTAATGTTGCTACTGTTATGAATCGTAATGTAAATATCTTCTATGCAGGATGTATTTTCATTGTTACAAATTGAACATAATTAAAGCATAATGATTAATCACAAAAACAATATGTAATTATATATGTGTTTTCCCATGGCCTTATGTGACCCCTGTGAAAGGGTCGTTCGACCCCCAAAGGGGTCGCGACCCACAGGTTGAGAACCTCTGATATAAGGCTATTTCCCCCAGTTAATTGAGAACTTAAACGTATTTTTTTTTTAATCCTAAGCATTTAAAACAGATTTTAAAATATTTCTTACCTGTGATTAAACTTATGGCCAAAGGAGATCCAGTCCTTTTCAATTAATACCTACACAAGAAAGCACATAAATATCATGGAGGGAAGCAAACCAGGAAAAATAAGAGACCACAAGGATTCAGAGGTTCTTGGAGTAGAAGTCACTCTCCTTGGGTAACCTGCAAATGAGTGAGCTCTCATTGCCCACCAGTACAGAGGTGCGTATTGGAAGGGCAAAGCTGAAGGTCATCCATAAGAAAAACAAATGGAAATCGGTATATGAAAATGTTAGTATCACCACCCACTGAGTGCTGCTATGAGTCTCAGCTCATACTGCTGCTTACATGATCTCATTTCACTGTAGGGTAGGTATTATCAGCCTCTCTCTGCAGAAGGGGGAACTGAATGGAGGATAGGTCCTCACCTAAGATCACACTACTAGGAAGTGGTGCTTCCACCTCAACCTAGCTCTACACCAAAGCCCATCTCAACCAAAACCAACCTTCTTACAAGAAACAACCTGGAATGTTTTCCAGTGAACTTTACTCCACTTAGGAAGTAAGTTCTCAACCCCACAGGTTGAGAACTGCTGCTCTATATAGATTATCTCCAATTTTTAAAAATCCAGAGATCTTTCCTGTGGATTAGAAGCATTCTAAAATGACGGGGGCATGGTAGGAGCTTCAGCCCTGCTTTGCGGTGAGGGGGTAAGAGGAGTTTCAAATTTAATTGTAAATGATACAGAAGAATCCCATCAATATCACGAATGCTCTAAGCTGGCCAGAGGTTCCCCTTAAAAAGTATGGAGTGGTTGAAGTTTGTCCTTGACAGCTCGCAAATGTAGCGAGACAATCAGAAAGGCTGGTGATGATGAAGGATGGTGTGAAGGAGAGGCCCTCTGGGGGTTGTGTTTCAGAATCCCTCCACTGTCCAAGTATAAACCAAGGGGTCCAGCCCTCTGACCTCAGTGCAGGGGGGAGCTGAGACAGGAGTGCGTTCGCTGACACTTTGAAAAAGAAAAAGCCCGAGAAAGGAAACCTGCCTCGTTTGTCCCCGAGAGTCAGCTAATATCCTCATAAAGACACCCATGTGGCTCGTCTGTCAGCATCTGTCCCTGCCATGGATTCAGGACCCCCGAAGCACTTCCCACCAAACCATGGGCAGGAGGCAGGAAGCAGACTCAGTTGCTAGGAGGTCTCTGCAGTCATTTTAAGAAAATGGTCCAGTGTGGTCAAAGCGTCTCCACTCCAGGCAACTATACACACATTCTGCAGCTGAAAGCAGCGTGTCACATTCTGATACCCAAAGGGTGCAGAATCTAAGAGGACGTGTGCAGTTTCAGCAGAGGCCACGTAAACAGGTTTTCAATACTGTCACCCAGAGTTGTAAAGGACTGCTTAAACAAAAGCAGTAAGTGAAAACAGAACAAAACAATTTTTCCTCTCAAGGACTTTTTTGCATGCTCTATCTGTGAAAGGGTCGTTCGACCGCCAAAGGGGTCGCGACCCACAGGTTGAGAACCGAAGCTCTATATAGAAAGTTTTATCTCCAATTTTTAACAATTTGAATTTTTGTTATATTCACACTACTTTAAACTTGAAATTCCCATGAACAAATGCTGTGTAAAACTATTTTACAAACTACTGAATGTATTTCATATTAGCCCTTAAATTCACATTTAATAGCATTGTTTTTTTTGTTCCAACATCTTGGACATTTACCCCTTTTAAGCCTATTTCTCCTTCAATTTATCTTGCTGATCTAAGAGAAAAATAATGTTGATGAGAAAAAAAACAAAAAAACATTGCTCATAATTAACATTCAGAACCCTGCATGGGACAGGGGCCCAGCGGCCGACTCACCATGAAGCCCTTCAGGGTCCGGTAGTGCGGGTCCAGCAGGAGGCTGGCCACGGAGCACACCTGCGCGGTCCTGTCCCAGCCGTCGGAGCAGTGCACGAGCACACTCGCCCCTTCCTCTGCAACTGCCTGGAAAACAGGGTCAGCACAGTCCACAGGGAATGGCCATGAACACGGGACATCTCATCAGGACGAGGTTCAGTTTTGTACTCGCAGAAACGGACAGAAGTGCCGGTGACTTCATTCATTGAGTGTTCACACCCTCATCTGACGGATGCTGGTGGCCAAAGCTTCCCTTCCCAGGACACTAGATCCACAAGCGACCACAAGGCCACCTCGGCTGAGCATGTGCACTACACAGTCCACACCACGTGCTGGACAAACACCTCTGAGACACCGCCTAGCCCACCTTTGACACCCCGCCCGCTTCCTCTCTGGGTTTCCACCTTAAGCCTTTCCCTTATTGAAATTATGGGTCTCCTATTGGCCTTTGCCTTTTTTCAAAAGGAAAAGACAAAAATAAAAAAATGGTAAAACTATGAAATCAGAGATAAAAGGATAAGAGCCAAGTAATGGATCCAGGATTGGGGGAAGGGAGAAAACAAAGGTAAAAATAATAGCAGCAAGTTTGCTACGGAAAGAATTTCTATTTGCTATCATAAATGCGCACGCAGAATTTTAGCTGAGCATCTTGACAGGAAGCAGACTGGGAAAGGGAGGTTTTGTCACGGCACTCATCACTGCCTGAAACTCTCCTTTTGCTCATTTTTGGTCTCCCACCCCAGAAGGTCAGCTCCGTGGAGACTGGTTTATTGCACATTGCCTGCTCGGCACCTAGGAAAGTGCAGTGCGGGCACCAAGTAAACATCTTCCGAATAAACGCATTATTCAACAAAGGGCCTCCGTCCCTGCAGTGGACGCACTCGCCTGTACAAAGAATTATTTCCTCCACCCAGGAAGCCTAACTGCAGAGGATATTCTGTAAGTCTTTTACCACTTGACTGCTGTGCTGACATACTGTCAACTAACTGAGCACTGACCTCTCTCGCAAAATCCCATCTCCAGCCGGCGAACTTGGAGGTGTGCACAGCAGCTCCCCACTCCGGCGGCACAGCCGCGCGCAGGGCAGCGGAGTGTGCTGGCTGGTCTGCCCCTTCGCTTACTTTCTCTGCCATCACGTACCTTGGCAATGAAAGTGCCTGCGTCCATGATGGCCTTGATGTGCCTTAACCAGCCAGAGTTCTCCAGTCCCCACAGAAAGTCGCTCATGGAGGGAGACTTCAGCTCACACACTGCAAGATAAATTACGTTATAAAAGCCAAATAAGGCACTCCGGTTTTACAGGTGATCATGTTATCGGTAGTTTAACAACTCCTTCACTGTAGTATTTTCCAGAAGACATACGTCCAGGTAAATGCCCAAACTTCCTTGATTCTATGAAACCATTTCAAGTCAGGCTTCTATTTCCTCTGGCCGTGGGGGATGTTGCGCAAGTTTAAAAGTATTATATGTAGAGATTAGACCCTAATATTAATGAAAACCCTGGAATATTACCGTAGTGAAGGTCCAGCTGGGATCCATTTACCCTCTTAGCACTGAAAACGGGTCACTCCAGAGCATGTGGCGAGAGGGCGATGGAGGAAACAGCCCCATGACCGGCCCCAGCACTTTCTAGTTAGAATGCACTGGCCAACCACTGCAGCTGGGACTATTGTAGAAACAGCAACTGTCCTGAAAGTCTTCAATGGATGTGATCGAACAACTTTTGCCAACAACTCCTACCCAGTGGGAATAAAGTGTGTGAACTTAAAAATGAGACAGTGAGTGGACTTTGGAACTGCTTCAAGAACCTCAAGTTAGGGGTTTTCCCTTTGAAAATGAAGAAAACCTAGGATCCCAGTGATATCTATATTTACATAGCTAAGGTGTGTAGTAAGCACCTCGATGATATTAGCACAAGCTAATCTTTTAATTAACATAAAGCATGAAAACTTCTGACTACATACCACAGATATTACATTCCAGTGACATATTTATGGGTTTTATATTTATAAAGCCCTTTGAGGAGCCCTATAAACCAGCCACTGAAAATTAAATAATGTTCCATCGGATTTGGTTGAGTGTATTGTCTTCTGTGATGCAGGGAGCAGGGACCCTGTTCCTACTCCCAACCCTGTCAGTGAATTGCTGTTCAATCTTGCACATGGCATTCAGCTCTCCCAGCCCCAATTTCTTCATGTTTCAAACGGGGAAGGTGTACGAAATGATGTCTAAGTACCCTTCCAACTTTAACTCCCAGAGTCATTGTGTACATTTGGAATACATAGTAAACATTAATGACCATGTTTATCAGATATCCTTCCCTAAAATATGTCAGATATGACGTTCACTCGTACTTCCCCCAACACAATAGCCACCAATAAAGGACAAGCAGTAAGTTCCGAGTCAGACGCCAGCAGTGATGAAGGAAATAACAGATTCCCAGCAGAAGGCCCTACTTAAGAAAACCATGTTGCCTACATCTCGTTTAGGCAAGATTCCCATCTCCCTTCCAAACGCCTGCCTGGAGCGGAAGCACAGCTCCAGAGACCCACTGCGCGCTGGCTACCGGAGTGCCCTCTGGCTGGGAGCACGGCCTCTGTGTCTGAGGTGTGGGTGCTGCCCGCTCCCCGCCATCGCCGGCAGGATGGGGTAAATGATGAGACTCGTTCATGGAGTGGAATATTACACAGCTGTCAGATGAGTGAGATTGCATCATATGGATGTCTCAAAGAGAAAATGTGGAATAAAAATGTTGTGAAAGGCTACTTAGAATATGTATGTAAATTTTAATGCATACAAAAACAATATAAAGGTACCTGAGGATAATCATGGTAATGAGGGCCAGCATATACAGCAAGCATACCGGTGCGGACAGAGGTGCCCGGCTGCAGCCCCTGACAGACAGACAGACGTGCACAGGACCTACTGCTCTGGGTCAGCCTGTGGCCCAGGCACTCAGCAGGCCGTTTCCAAGGTTATGGTGTCCTCTGTCGTTTACATGTGTTGTTTTGAAATAAACATAAAAAAGGAAAAAGCAGTGTAACAGACACAGACTGGCCACAGTTGCTTCCGATGAAAGAAAAGAAAAGAATGTTACAACTAAATGGCATGTTCCGTGCCATCCTGCCTCTTCCCTCAGGTGTGTTAACATTCCCAAGCCGGTTTCTGTGCCGCCCCTACCTCCATGCCTGTGTGTGAGCTTGGACCAGTTAGTCTCCCTGGACCTGTTTCCTCAGCTGTAAAGTGGGGGCAGTAGCAGCTCTCATGCACACGGGTAATGGGCGGTAATAGGATGGAAGGTGTGGGAAAGGGCGGGCTGGTCTTGTGTAAGGTGGCAAAGGCGAGCAGGCTCCTGGACGGAGCAGCATGCCAGGCAGGTATCGCAGTTCCGGGAGGAGTCTACGACGGTGATGCTCTGGGAGCAGATTCCCAGAAAGCCATGGGGCAGACCTGCCTCTGATCTGCCCCTGAGCTGGGGGGGGTGCCCAGTCTGAAGACAGACCGCTGGATCTGCTGCCCCGTGAAAGCAAACAACCCTGCCCTCCCAGCCCACCCTGCAGAGATCTGGCCTGGGGGCAGCACAGCAGTCCTGCCAGGGCCCCCTCTGCCTGCCCACGCCACCCAGCGGGAGGCACGGGAAACCAGCTCCTCTGTGAGCCCGGCACTCCCTGGGCGCCTGCTGTTGGTCTTTCTGCCTAACCCCGGCCATGGCCGGTGCTTAATCCTAAAGCACACACATTCCACCACATGCAGCCTCAGGGCTCCACTGGTCCCGCCCATCATCCACAGGAACCTTCTCTGGCAAACACCCAGCAGGCCAAACTTCCGGGTTGTTATGGTTGTTACGACAGGGCTGGGTGAGTTGGCATTCACGCCTCTTAAAACACAACCAGGGGCCTGAGGGATATCTGGCAGCTAAACTCTTAGCTCAGCCCAAGAACAAATGATCCTGTTCACCTTTGCTTCCCCACAAGGCAGGGAAATGATGGCAAGTTAGACATAAAGACACCAGGCTTTCCACCTAACCGGGAGCCGGCCCTGCCAAAAGGAAGCCTGGATGTTGGCTCGCAGAGCAAGGCCCTAACACAGTGATGGCGAACCTTTTGAGCTCGGCGTGTCAGCATTTTGAAAAACCCTAACTGAACTCTGGTGCCGTGTCACATATAGAAATTTTTTGATATTTGCAACCATAGTAAAACAAAGATTGATGTTTTTGATATTTATTTTATATATTTAAATGCCATTTAACAAAGAAAAATCAACCAAAAAAATGAGTTCTCGTGTCACCTCTGACACGCGTGTCATAGGTTCGCCATCACTGCTAACACTTCCTGCCGGAATGTCCCAGGCCAGCCGCGGGGCCCACAGCCCCCCCTCTCTTCCCCCACTGTGAGTGGCTCCTGGTTCTACATTTCTGCTTTCAGGAACACGGAAACTGTGCACAAGAAGTAAAATAACCTCGCCAGGTTTTCAAGCCAGGTCACCACGGAGGGGCAGTGTGTGTCCGAAACGCTGAGTGGAGCGTTAACAGCAAACAGCTCTGCAGATGACTAATACGCAGGGACAGATGGGGGTACACTTGAGACTGGAACAATTAGTGCTTCAGTTTTTAAATATAAAGCTGGTGGGTTTGTTTGGATAAACTCAGGATAAGGCAGAAATACTGATTTGTTCACTCTTGTTGCCAAACCCAAACCAATATTTACAAACCATTTTGCTGAACGAAGTTCATTTCAGCTGACATCACAGGCATATGCCACCGATGAGAGAGCTGTGCTGCATGCCCAGGCCCAATATTTGTTTTACAAAACAGGGCAACTTATTCCTTACACATGTATAGGCAACACTAAAATATATCTGTGTTATTCAGGAAACCAAGGAAATATGAAACTTACTTGAAAGGAAATAAGCCTGACGATCGTCCTTAGGAATTTCCTGCACCAATCACGTTCCTTCCTCTACAGGTGTGGGGGGGTCAGGGAGGGACAGTCCCTATTCGAACCCTGGGAATGTCTGTCTTGTCTCCTAAGGTCAGAGCTGGCATGTACCTGGCCCTCCCTTCATTCCCAGGCGTGGCACACCACCAGGGCTTCTGCTGAAGTGAGGTTTGTCCCCTTCACATTTTAGAATCAAGCCCGGTGAAATGGTCTTCAAAGCACCAGCAAAACGATAGCCGTCTCCCTTCACTGACCATCCTCGCAGGTGGAACCATGCGAAGAGGACTTAATTATGGCCTTGAAAAATGGAAATGCGTGGTTAAGCCTGGGTTACAGCCCCCCTGTCCCCTATTTAACTCGCCCACATGGTGACAGAAGAAACGTCTGAGCCCTGCAGTGAACTGGCCGGGGATCTCGGAGGATTAAGATGTTAGCAGCAACTATGATTGATGTGGTGGTGTTCTTGTCTCTGCCCTTCCCAGCCCACATGGGCCCTCTGTTTAGAGACCTTTTGGTGATTATTCTTTAAAACAACACCAGCTTTGTTCATGCTGCTGTTTTCTGGAATCTGAATACAAGAATGCCATGAGGCCATTTTTGTGTAACCTTGTTTTCTTTTAAAGAACTTGACAATAACATAGAATGGTAAGGTTCAATCAAGACTACATTCTTATATGTTTGCTAGCATTGCCTGAGTCAGTAGCATAGAAAATACACACACACGTGCACAGTGTGTAACAGCTACTAATAAACACGTCTGTGTGTAAATGCATGCATACACACACGTCCTAATAATGCTAGTTACCACTGGCCTGTAGCGGTTCTCAACCTGTGGGTCGTGACCCCTGAAAATACATCCTGCATATCAGATACTTTACATTACGATTCATAACAGTAGCAAAATTACAGTTATGAAGTAGCAACGAAAATAATTCTATAGTTGGGGGTCACCACAACATGAGGAAGTGTATTAAAGGGTCATGGCATCAGGAAGGTTGAGAACCACAGGAAGCAGCAGGTTCACAAAACAATGCTCTATTAGCATGTATTAGTTTTGCACATGAATTCTGAATCTAAAGACACAGTTTGCAGCAAATAAATTAAAAAATACACGTGTCCATTTATATTACATTTGCCATATGGAAGGCTTGGGTCTTGCTGGTTTCCTCTGAGTGACCCCACACATCCTCGAACCTACAGTGCAAATGGTTATCTCAGGGTATAGAGGAGGCAAGGGCTCAGACACGGGGCCCCGCAGGTGCACTGTGATAGCGATCGAGTTCCCCCGACTCCAATTTCCATAGTATTTTCAC